TGTCAGGTGCTGAAATGCACACATTCCTTCTGACAGCCTAAGACGATCCCCCCTGCGGAGGCAGAGTTTTGCAAACTGCTACTATAAATGGCGGCAGTTTCAGCAAGGAGTGAAAAAAAGAATCTTCAGAGGACTCTCTCTTACATAATCCCACCACAAGCAAGCTACCAACATTTTGGGAAAGACACAACTCTAACAAGCCCAGAATAGGAGTTAAAACTTTACGGTCAGTAAAGTTCCAAGACATTCAGTTGCTGGCCTAAGAGTAGTAGGTATCTTGCAAAGGGATTTCAAAGGGAGATTAGAAATAGAGACTGCTGAACTGCAGCTTATCATGAAGTTGCATCAAGACAATGCATCCTCCTGGACTGAATCGAGACCTAGGTTTCCTGTCTCATCACCAATGCTGATTTCTCCATGCCTACTACCCCACTGCATATCACGCCAAATCCATCATTCACTTGCTATTGTAGTTTGGCATCTGAAATATAGGATGGATGGACTCACATTCTAGCTGTATCTGAAAAAGTGACTACACACAAAAGCTCATACCCTGCCACAAATTTCATTAGTCTTTAAGGTGCTATTGGACTCTTGCTTTTTTCTACTGTTAGTGCAGCTTTTTTGGCTAGTGAGACAAGTCTGAAAGCCGCTGGTCTGCTTAAAATCCAGGACATATTGGAACTCCTTCAATTTAGGCTCAAGAAACTTAATTGTAGTTTAGAATCTGTGTCGGGTATGGTAAAAATATAACAGGTTGATCAGACCGGTGGTTCAGCTAGTCCAACATCCTCTTTCACCCAGCAGCTAGTCCTGTTGCCTTGGAGGACCTACAGGCAGGGTACAGAGGCCAAGGCCTTCCTCTGATATCGTTTCCTAGCACTGGTATTCAGAACTTTGCAGCTTCTGACCAAAGAGATTCTCTTTAGTCACCATGGCTAGTAGCCATTGATCAGCCTCTCCTCCAACAATCTCTCTAACCCCCTTTTTAAAAGCAACTATGCTCATGGCCATCACTATGCCCGGGGGCAAAAGATTACACAATTTAATTACTCACAGAGTGTAGGTCTTCCTGAATCTATCACCCAGTCCTGAATCTATTGCCTATCAATTTCAGGGGGCTGCTGTCACATGGTGAGTTAAAATTTTTATCGAACTGTTTACTACATTCCCAAGATCCCTCCCCCCTCCCCGTCACTATCAGTTCAGAGCCTATCAGCATATATTTAAGGTTAGGGATTTTTTTTCCAGGGTGCCCGATCACCTTGCGCCTCTGGTGCAGACAAACAAACAACCAGTGGTTTAACTAATGTGTGAAACACAATCTTAAGTGTCTCCCTTTGACTTTGTATTTGAAGGGCGGTCAGAGGAGGGCAGAGAGCTGTTCTTGTTGGCAGCAGAGGACAGGATTTGCAATAATAGTTTTCAATTAAGGGCGGGGAGGTACCAGCTGGATATAATGAAAAACTTTTTTACAGTCAGAGTTGTGCAGCAGTGGAATCAGCTGCCTAGGAAGGTGGTGAGCTCCCCCTCACTGGCAGTCTTTAAGCAGCAGCTGGACAAACCCTTGTCAGGGATGCTCTAGGCTGATCCTGTATTGAGCAGGGGGTGGGACTAGATGGCCTGTATGGCCCCTTCCAACTCTGTGATTCTATGACTTCAGTTAGGGGTCATGGTTCTGCGATAGAGCATCTTATTTGCATGCAGAGAGTCCCAGGTTCCGTTCCCAGCATCTTCAAGTAAAAGGGTCATATGAAAGGGGTCATATCATAGGTGATATGAAAGACCACCACCTGAAACTCTGGAGAGCTGCTGCCAGTCAGAGTGGACAATACTGACCTTGGCAGGCTAATGGCCTGACTCAGTACAAGAGAGCTTCGTGTGTTCAAATCATCATGACTTCAGCTGGACCATGCTCTGCCATTATTCTGCGTGAGATTTCCATACCCTGATCACAGAGAGAAAGAACCTGCGAGACTTAAGAGGAAGCATTCTACAAACTATGAGGCAATCTTAGATATCAGCAGAAGTGAGCTGCAGTCCTGACCCAATGCTCCCTCTAAGCTGTGGAGTCTTGTGAGCAAAAATGCTACTTTGTGAGCTACTGGCATTAAAGTGGTGAGCGAGCAATTTGGCCATCCTTCCTGAGCTAAGACAAAAATGTGTGAGCTGGAGGCTAAAGAACTGTGAGCTGGCTCACACTAACTCAGCTTCGAGGAAACACTGGTCTTGAACTGCTGGCCTGGAAGGTAAGAGCCATGGAAGTCTGTGGGACACAGGGTGGCGGTGGTGAAAATTGCCAACAAGTCACAGCTTGACTCATGGCGACCCTGTAGGGTTTTCAAGGCAAGACAGAGGTGGTTTGCCATTGCCTGCCTCTGCATAGCAATCCTGGATTTCCTTGGTGGTCTCTCATCCAATTGATAACCAGGGCTGACCCTGCTTAGCTTCTGAGATCTGGCTAGCTTGTTCCACCCAGGTCAGGGCCTGTGGGACACACGTCTTGGTCAATGATTCTTAAAGTCATCTTGAGAAGTTGTAGAAAGAACAAGATGAGAACACTTCTTGTAGGTCGAACTCATCGCCAAATGATAGGAACATTGTTTTATTAGTAACAGTGAGAGCAAGGGTGTAGACTTTCCAATTTCGGGGGGGGGGGCTGGGCCAGAGGCATTGCTGTGCTAGGAGCAAGGGTGGCTCCCGGGGGAGGCTGAGCACCTTCCTGAAAATTTCGGCGGGGGCTGAAGCCCCGCCGCCCCCACAAAGATTACACCTATGGGTGAGAGTAGGTTTGTCATTAAAACCACACCACATTGCAAACTTACCTAGGAGCAGCGTTCCCTCTAAACTGACAGTGCGAGCTAGCTGACAGTTTTTTTAGCCTCCAACTCACACGTTTTTGTCTCAGCTCAGAAAGGACGGCTCCAAAACAAACTAATTCACGCAGCAGCCAAATCACAACTTTAATGCCAGTAGCTCACAAAGCAGAATTTTTGCTCACAAGACTCCACAGCTTAGAGGGAACATTGCCTAGGAGTGTCCTATTTAACTCAGTGGGGTTTAGTTCTGAGTAAACTCCACTATAACTCTGCTTCTGTGTAAATCTGTATTTCTGTAAATCTGTCCAACCCCTTTCTCATCTCCCACTCTTCAAAACAGTGAGCTGAGATCTAGATGGTGTTTCCAGGGAGACAAGAACACACACCTGGTGGCCTCTTCTACCAAGATGGATCTGGACCAAGCAGCAGAGCAATGGAGGGGGCATCCATTTTTATAATGCAGGCTATAGGTGTGGAAATCAACTGATGTGTTGGAATGTAATCAGATAATTTCTAAACTGGTTGATTTTCACAGCTTGCAGTTAAAAGCATTAGATTTCAGTGCATGCCAGAGGAGAACCTGGGCATTCCATAGAATGACTTGTCAATTTTAGGGCTAACTCTACAGGCTGGTACCCAGATCTGAAACTATTGGAAGTTAAGGTGTGGGGGGGGTGTGTGTGGAAAACCATTATACGTTTGGCAAATGAGAAGAGGAGATTGGATTTATACCCCGCCTTTCACTCAGAGTCTCAGAGCAGCTTACAAACTCCTTTCCCTTCCTCTCCCCACAACAGACACCCTGTGCGGTAGGTGGGGCTGAGAGAGCTCTGAGAGAACTGCCCTTGAGAGAGCAACTCTGAGAGAACTGTGACTGACCCGAACGTCTGCACTATTAACCACTACAGCAAACTGGAAATTATTGGACTGTGATTATAAGGGATAGAATGAGGATTTACATCATGAGTTAGGGATAATTTCAAGGCCGAATGGAGATGCTCAGCATATTTTGGAGGGTTTTAAAAAAGAATTTGGGGAATGAGGGTCTTTTATTTTTTATTATTATTACTATTAAATTTATACCCTGCCCTACCCTGCTTTCCATGTTTCAGCTGTGAAATAAGTTTTCTATTCAGCCCTGAACAGGGGAAGTAAAATGTATTTATTTACTCTGTTTGTTCCCCACCTTTCCCCTCAGTGGAGACCCAAAGTGGCTTACGTCATTCTTCCCCCCCCATTTTATCCTCACAACAGCCCTGTGATGTAGGTTAGGCTGAGAGAGTGTGACTGACCCAAGGTCACCCAGCAAGCTTCCAGGGCATGAGTGGGGATTCAAACCTGGATCTCCTAGACACTAGTCCGACACTACACCACAGTGGTTCTTGATATTTATCTACCAGAATGTTGTCACGTCCATCCCCCAGCTATTCACCACGCAGAAGATGCCACTGAGCACTAACCGAGTGTGTTTAATCTTCACCAAAGAGCTGAAATCTCAAGACACCTTGAAGGAGGGTGAATGGCTTCGAGAGCAGAGGGTATGATTTCCAAAAATACTTGAGTCTGAGAGACACGCAGTTTAGAGATCACCCACCGAGTGGTTGGCATACTTTGGCATTCGGTAATGGGATCGTTTTAAGTGGAGAAATGAGATGGAACTGCTTTCGTGGTCAAGTAGCCCAGAAGAGTTTTCCCAAAGCATCCTTTTAGCGAGAACTTCCCACCATAATATTGCTATCTGAAGACGTGAGCTGTGACTCAGGAAAGCTACATACCCTGCCCCAAATTTTGTGAGTCTTTAAGATGCTACTGGACTCTTGCGCTTTTCTACTGCTACAAACAGGGCTATTCGTCTTGCTCCATTGTCATACTCACCCATTTCCACCCATGTGCCTCCAGACTGTAAAGAAATGTGCCAGCGGCTTGAGCATAAGGAATCCCATACTGGTGTGGAAGGGGCATGACGGCGGGTCTCTCGGCCTCAGTGTCCCAGCCGCAAACAGCAAGCATGCCCAGTGTTACCAGAAAGGCTAGCCAAATCAAGAAGACCCCTGTTCACAGTCACCTCACCACCCTCCAGAAAGCAATGCAAGGAACACCCCCTCCCCAAGTAAACAGAGGCCACGATCCTGAAAACAGTCCCGAGCCGACCCGTTGCCACATATACACCCACGCACGCACCTGAATTCCTGAGCTTGCGGTTCTTGGACACGGAGATCACCACCAGCAGGTTGCCCACGATATCCACCACCGTGGTGAAGATCAGCACGCTGGACAGCGCCGGGACCACCCAGCCCGGCCGCGGATCGGCCGCCTCCGCAGTCGCGGTCGCCGCCTCCGCCTCCTCCTCCGGCGGCTCCCCTCTCGGGGGGAAGCCGAAGCCCCCTCGCCCGCCCAGCCCGCAGCAGTTCCTCAGCGACCCATTCTCCAGCATCGCGGAGGCCGGCCCCTCCCGCCGCCGGCCTCGCCGAGCATTGAAAGGGGCGCTGCAGGAGGGGCAACCGAGGCGCCCGCGGGCGCTCGTCCCGGGCGCGCTGCCTCCGCTGACTGGCCGGCGCCGCCGAGCGGGAAGGGTTTTAACCGGCTGCTGCCCACTCCTCGCACCGCCTCCTTCTCCTCCCGGCTTTGCGACGGGGCGGCCGGGGAGGGAGCCCGCGCTTCGGAGAGCATGCAAACCAAGGTGGGCGTGGCTTCAGGGCACAAGTGGGCGGGGCACCCATGCCCAAGCTCCTCCCCTCCTAGTCCTGGAAGGGAAAGAAGGAGGGGCTTGTAGCCCAAAGTCCCGCCCCGCCCAGAACCACGGTCCTCCCCCTGCACTTAGGCGGGTTTTCCCCAAATAACTTTAATTGGAGATGTGTCCGTGAGCAGGAAAACTTCTACCCAGAATAAAACTTGGTGTTCCAGGTGCCGCTGGACTCGCTCAAAACTTTGTTCTAACTTGAATTCCTTTCAGGAGAAGGGGGGGGGGGATTTCTCCCACGCCAGCTCTGGCAGAAGAGGCAGGCGAGCCCCGCGGGGGACTGCGGAGGTGGGAGCGCACGTGGGAACGCGCCGTACGCTTGGCTTTGCTCGGAACGACACGCCGCTGACTCACTAGGGCAAAGGGGAAGAGGGCACGCGTCGGCAGGGAAGGCAGCTAGCATGAGTGGGGAAGAGGACGGGGTGGGGGGTGGCTTGTCTGCTGTTTAAATGCCATTGTCCACGATCGCGATTCACAGTCTTCTTAAAGCATTTTTTTAAAGGATGTGAACATTCCAGCGGGGAAATAGGGTTACACAGGTGGAATCTTGCATGAGCGTACGCGAGGGAAACGCCATCGTTCGTATTATAAACTTCCCCAAACAATCCGAAGTAGATCAGCGAGATTCGGGTCCAGGAGTGCCCTGGAGACCAACAGGCGTAACGGATCTGCAGCCCCAACACCGCTATCCTCTGAAACAAGCTACAGTAGAAAAATCCTACTGGATCAGACCAGATCTCTGTTTACTCCAGCATCTTCATTCCGACAGTGGCCAAGAAGGCTTCTCTGCTGTTTGCCCTCCAGGAACTGGTATTCAGAGGTATACTGCCTCTGAAACTGGAGGTTCCATTTAGATGTCCTGGCTAACAGTCCTTGATAGAGTTGGTCACATCCCCCTTTCAGGGCAGGCCATCTGTCAAGGTGCATCACTTTTGTCTTGGGGAAGCAAATTCCAGAAAACTGACACACACACACACCCCGTTTTTGGATCAAGGTAGATGAGACGGTGGGAGACTGGTGATTGGAGGTCACCTTTTTTTTAAGGGGGAAAGGATGCTGGGAGAGATCAGGGCTGCAGCGCTAGGGAAGGCAGTTTCTCCTTCACCCCATCTGCTATTTCTCTCAGGGAGAAAACACACAGGTACCGACCCAATGTTTCCTCTTGGCAGGACCAATGGCAGCTTTGGGAGAAAGTACTTCTCCTGGTGCTTGCCACGCAATTCAGAAAGTGGGTGGGGCCACTGTAAGGCATGGCTTGTTATTGGCTGCCTGCTTTGAAATGATTTTGTTCCCCACAGCTGCAATGCCAGCCGCAGCCACTAGAGGCTCAAGAGGGCTTTCCTTATGTGTGATTCCATTCCCCCTTCAGGCTTTCTTTCATTTTCTTCCCCAGGCCCCAAGAGCCAGTTTGGTATAGTGGTTAGGAGTACAGACTCTGACCTGGAAGAACTGGGTTTGATTCCCCACTCCTCCACATGCAGCTGCTGGTGTGACCTTGGGTCAGTTACAACTTATTTCAGAGCTGTTCTCTCAGGAGCAGTCATCAAAACAACTCTCTCAACCCCCCCCACCTCACAGGGTGTCTGTTGTGGGGAGGGGAAATGAAAGGAGGTCATAAGCCGCTCTGAGACTCCTTCAGGTAGTGAAGGGCAGGGTATAAATCAAATCTGTCCTCCTCCTCCTCCTTGCACTTTCCTTAATTTCTTTTTATTCTACTGCAATTTTTTTTTGCTAAGTGAGGAAGGCGGTAACAGCAGCCACTTCCTGGGGCAGCCATTTTGTCTTTGGATCCACCCCCTGTGGTGGCCATTTTGGGCTGGCACTCACTACCTCCTCTGAAATCTCCAAAGGTGCTCACAGGCTGGAAAAGGTTGGGGACCCCTTGTCTGGGGAACATGCCAATGATTTAAATCCATTTAAAATGGCACAGTGAATCTACTTCCCTCATCACTAAAACCCCGATCTGATTGCTTCCAAAGAACTGTAGCATAACCCCCAAGATGTACCTGCATATATTCCCTCAAAGAGCACTTGTGGAACACTAAATGCATTTGATAACTAGCTGATTATGCTACAGCTATGAAATCTGATAGACAAGATTATAGATGCATGGAAAACACTAGGGATATTGTAGGGAACTTGGAAGATCTTCAGAACTCGGTTCTTCCAAATGCAGCACATTGCAATAGGGATGTGGTTACGTCAGAGGGCCACTTTAGCACCTAGAAACAATGCAGTAGATGTGATTAACAGAGAACTCCTCGACCAAAAATACCACGAATGCAAGCTGGTGGATGCTAAACCAATTTGGATGCTATCCAAGTGAATTTCTGAAACCTTTGGAAGCATCAGGATTACCACAACATATGCTGAACTTCAAAACGGGTTCACCCATCATATATTTGCTAAATCCGCCAACATTAGGCAACGGAAATAGACTGCTGGTAAAAGCGGCTTTTTAGCTATGTTACGGAAGCAGCAGTCATTACAGGGCGTGCGGCAGGACAGGATGTATTTATTCCAAGAATGCATCCTCCTATGAGCAGGGCCGGCTCACTCACTAGGCGAACTAGGCGATCGCCTAGAGTAGGACGGCCCTTAGGGGCACCAAACTGCACCCGACCCTGTACTCTGGGAGTTTCTTGATTATTTGTGTTTTTCATTCTTCCTAAAATGCATTTATTTTTGACAATTGGTGGGTGCACGGGGTCCCAGAAGGGATCCCCGCCTAGGGCGCAAAATAAGCTGGAGCCAGCCCTGCCTATAACACTCACAGCCTTTCCATTTCAAGATGCTTCCCATTCCAAGTGTTTTGACTCAGGCCGTTGGGTGAGCTTACATCAGAGGCAAGATTTGACCCTGGGATCTCCCAGCTGACCATCTTAGCTGACGCCCTAGAGCAGCTCTGCAGTTACACCAAGCGGCGGTTGGATCCAGCTCTCCTGGAAGCGAATCTTCCGGTCTTGCCTAGTTTTGTACCTATGAAGCTGCCTTATACAGAATCAGACCCTTGGTCCGTGAAGGTCAGTATTGCCCACACAGGCTGGCAGCACCTCTCCAGGTTTTATGTAGAGGTCTTTCAAACTGCCTGCTGCTTTATCCTTTCAGCTGGAGATGCCCAGGGTTGAACCCGGGACCTTCTGCGTGTTGAGCAGATGCTCTGCCCGTGAGCTCCAGCCCCTTTTAAGTAAGACGTGCTAACAGTTTGCTGACAGTTTCACCTATTGGGGAAATAACTGTGTGTTGGATCACAGAAACAACAGATGGACTCTTTCCATGAGCAGAAGGGGATCTTTGGAGCCAACCCAATCCTTTGGATCCGACCCAATGTTTGCAAGCTGTGAAAAAAACCAGACATTCTATGTTTTAATTTTGTATCCTTCTTCAGGCATGTATGTTACCATGTGGGTTATATATAAAGGAGTGTGTTTGTATTCAGTGCTGTGCCAGATCACATCTGCCAGACGGGTAACACAGTGATGAAGAAATGGAGCCACAGGTCAGGACATCCCTGGTTCAAATCTAAACTCTTCCAGGAGCGGACTTCCTGGCCTCAGTCAGGTCATTCACCCTCAGCTTCAGCTCCCCCTGCCATCAGCAATGCAGGGATAATAAAGTGGCCAACATTACAGGGTTGTTGGAGGAAATACCGCAGTGGCATATTGGAAAGTGCTTTCAGTGCTCGGAAAGAACAAGCTAATTTAATATGATTTTATCTGAAACATTTTGGTTTAAACATTTCAATTTCAATATTATTTTATTTTTAATATTTTATTTTAGCTATTATTTTATTTTTTATTCTGTTTTTTTAAAAACAGCGCAAGTCCATTACCTGTGCAGAAAAGCCCTCTTGAATAAGTTAGTTTTGCATAGTTTGGGGAAAGCTGGGAGAGCTGGAGCTTTCCTGACTTCCTTGGGCAGGCCGTTCCACAAGGCAGGAGCCACAACCGAGGATGCACGAGCAGCGGCAGTTGCTGAGTTTGTGCATTTGCCTGTTGGCACCTGCAGAACCCTCTGCTCACATGAGTGAAGAGAACACCCTTCTGAGTCCATTGAAGTGAATGGGTTTCCAAGGCTACGACGGTGCTTGAGAGGATGCTGCGAATCTTTCAGTGCTCCAGAGTTCTAACTTTGCAATAAAACCTGAGCACTGAAGAGGTGAGTTGCTTCCACACAGGGGTGCAAAAATATACACCAGTGGCGGGAGAAGCTGGAGGCTTGGAAATGTGCGGGAGTGGCATTCACACACCCTTTCGGCTGTTACCCCCTCCCCACCTGTTATGTATGCAGCCCACCTCACGGCGGCCACAAGAAAGACAGGAGCTTGGCTCCAGAAAGACAATGGGACCTGGGATCCTAGTCCCCCCCCCTAGCTGACCAATGGGCTTCTTGGCGGGAAATTCAAACCCTCCAATGGAGTGGGAGGCCCAGGGGTAGGAGTGTATATAGTTGGCCTTGCAGGGCCGTTGGGTGCTCTTATGTTAAGTACGCAATAAACGTGTGCAACCGCATGTCGTCGTCCGAGTCTTCCATGCGGCGAACCCAGTACTTTTCACCACCCCACTCCTTTTCTCTCTGTTTTCAACATAATGATGATTGCCCCACCGGCACACAGCTCGGCTTCCCTCCTTTATCTTCCCAGCTGAGCTGCAGTATAGAAGAAGAAGAGTTTGGATTCATACCCTGCCCTTCAC